ACCAAACGAACTAGATGTAGCCAAAGTCATGTGCAGGGGAAGGTAAATGCGAAATAGAAGAGGACGATATCAATAAAATGACTTACTGAGTATATGTGAAGGAAACGGGGATCATTCATTGGCTTCCCTGGTGTTGAAAGGGAAGATGAAAAATGCTTGCAAAAGAGGTTCTGGCGAGGTTCGAACTCGCGACCTTCTGCGTGTAAAGCAGACGTGATAACCACTACACCACAGAACCAACTCATAAATACAACTCACATTTTCATCAAGGAAAAATATCTACCCAATTTCAATGATTCTTTTAAACTGGACAATTGTCCCTGATTGCATCTGGTTTTTCGTCTTTCCATCATCTCTAGACTCGACGAACATTTTGTTATTGTTCGGTGAAGCCAGCAATAGCAAATGCAGCAGAAAACGTAGCGAGTGCACAAAACTGCTCTGTAGAGGGAAGGGTAATACTTGGTAGAGGAACACAAGATAACTAATCAGTGTTACTGACTAAATGTGTTTGAAATAGAAATCGTTACTTCAACAGTCTGGTCGTTATCGATGAGAAGAAAAACAGCTTGCCAAAAGAGGTTCTGGCGAGGTTCGAACTCGCGACCTTCTGCGTGTAAAGCAGACGTGATAACCAATAGATGAACAGTAAATTGTCTTCTGTTTCACTTAGACACACTGGACAAACATCAGTGTTTGACAGTCTAATTTAAAAGGCAATAATATGAGGAAATTTAAAATCTTACTGTACGGAATCTGTTGATTTATCTGTTTGCCGCACATTCAGCCAAATATCTTTCCAATTAATATCAAAGGAAATGCTATCCCACCAGCTGATAGCTACTGGTTCCATGAAATGCTTTTCCTGAAAACTTCGTAACAATATTTAGCTGTAAATACTTCAGCAGATACATCCTGTTCATCAGTTGTGCAGATTATGTCCCCTGAGTGAAGATTTTTAACAATATCAGATAAAATTATTCTTTTCTACTCTGATGGAAGCGCATATAAAATGATCCTGTAACATTGTTGTATTGTACTAGTGTCCATCTCATGTAAAGTGCCATGGACTATTTTCACAATAATTTGTTCAGACATGAATTTTAAAATGACTTCGAAACAAATATCTTTAATACAAATAATCCCACTTGCAACAAACGATTGAAACATGAGAGTATTTCCATTATATGTAATCAATTGATTTTTAAATAGTGGTTGATTCACAATATCATTTATATTCTGAAGTAATAGACTTTTCCTTCGTTAATTTCATTCCATGCGGCGAAAAGCTCAGCATAAAATGGACTTATATTCTGCAAATAATATTTATTATATTAAGAGATAAGGGATGAAGTCCATTGTCAGAAAATGTTGCATTTAATATTCTAACGTTTGTTTCCCAATACAGTTGAGCTGGCTATTGACGAAGTCTCTCAGCAATTTCAGTCTCATTATTTCTTAAAACGTAAGTTTGGTAGATTTAGACCTCCATTTAAACAGACACCAATGCAAGTATCAAATGCTTTTGTGGCAGTCGTATTGTGACACACACAAAAATTACTAATTTAGAAATGACGAAGCCTATTTTTGCCCAATAACAAAAAGTCTGATTTTTCAATGTTGATTTTGGCACCCGTTGACTGGCAATAATACGTTAACTGTGCGAAATGATTTAATGACAGAGCTCACATCTTAGACAGTGATTGGCATCAGTATGTTCATATATTAAAGAGGAAACGTTGGTGATTTTGATATTTTGAATGTGAGGGTTGTCTTTCATAAACAGGTTTAATGGTTCTCAAATAAGAACAAACAACACTGAGCTCTGCCTTACCCCACGTGATGATTTGAAATATGGATTTATATGTCCATTACACTTGACAGAACTTTTACTGTCTGTACATAATATTTTTTATTCAAGATACATGAAATTATTCCAAAATTTGAATTCATGTAAAATATCTGACATGTAATTGTGTGAAACTCTTGATATATTTTAATTGTGTGCAATGTCTCTCCGTGGTAAACACCATCTGACATTACAGACTTGAGTCTAAATCACAATATAATTTACAGTCAACAATGATTAGTGCAATAGGTCTGTATTATTTACCTCTATTTTATCGCCTTCCTTTTTATAGAATAAACCAATGGCACTTGTTTTCAAGACCGTGATAATTCCTTCTATTCAAAAATACGCTTAGTGACATAATGGAAAAGAGGACATAAAATCTCTCAAAACATAAGTTAGAATTCATGCAACAGTTAAACCATCAGGAGTTTAGTGCATCAGTCAGTTGTTTTTTTAGAAATGTGAAGATCGCAATAATCCGTTTGTTAATCAATAATCGACATGTCTAATATTTCAACTACCTGTTCTTTATCATAATCAAATCCTTCATATGTAACTTTTCATAAAATGAACGTTTACAGTGTCCTCCGTAGTTCGCAACATTGTCAAATTCAGTGATAAGTTCGTTGATCAAATACGCTTGTTGCTTAGATTTTTCAAATTCCCCCCCCAAAAGAAGTGCATTGATCAGATTCAAAAGTAAATTGTGTTTTTGATCATAAGATCACCCCTACATGAGTTATTTTCATGATCTTCCAATTTTCTTTTAAATCGCAAAGTTGTGGGGATGTAAAATTTCTTATATTTGTACATCTTTAAGTTCATTTTGAATAAGTATCTGTTTTTGACAACCTACCTAGTTTGCCTGAAAAAATTCATGAACATCTTTTTAATTGATACCTAGATGAGCGGTTCTCATTAAAAAAGTGTTTATATTTTTGCTTCCTCAATAATGTCAAGAATTTCGTGATTAAAGATTATTAAAAATCCAAAATGTTGGTCCTCTTTCTATCTACATGAGAACTGTTTGTGAAAACACATTTTTTCAAATTTACAAATCTGTAAAACCATTGACATCAAATGCCCATATATCAAACATGATAAAAAGTAATAAATACATATTAAGCATCAATATTTGTTTATCTAAATCTTTTCTACAACGAGGCCTTTCTCCAACATCCTCATTAGGCCACAGATGCTTCTTGTATTGCTTACACTCCCTGGGGCACCATCTCCACGGTAAGGCTGTGAAAGAAGATTGTGATTGTTCTGTGTAGAATCTACTATCACATGGTCGTCTGCATGTATACAATTATCATCACACGGAGATAAGTGGTTTTGGGGCATCACACCTGTACTTACCAACAGGTGAACTTCTGTCAGTTGTTTCTAGTGATATGTCAAAGACCTGATTGTATGGTTCTTTGTCCAAATGTGACACACATTTTGTCAAACAATTCCTCAATATCCTGCATATTGGCAGTAACGAATCCCCTCAGGAGCCAACTCTTGGAGATCATGCCACATCTGTTTTCATGTCAGTTAGGCCATCGTCATTTTTATCATTACTATAACTATCACCCTTCGTATGGTCTCACTCTTCCTGTCCATTCGTGACCAACTTGTGTTATTCCGGGACAAGCCGAATAGCTCTCGTGCCCTCTGGAAGGACTTGATATTGGCGCATGAACATCAGAACTACTTTAACCAAGAACGATAACTCTATTCCTGTTTGATTCCAATAGTACCGAATATCACCGAAGCACGCGTACATTGTATTGCTGTTTTGGTTTTTACTATTTATTTTAAAGAATTAAACCTATTTGATACAACTAAAAGCAGGAGAAAAACATATTTGTTAAAGACATGTTCTGATGTTATTATTACCAGATGTTCACCTTATATTTCCAATTATATTTCTAAATAGGGGTTAATAATGACAAATGGGATTTGCTTTATTGAAATATGTAAATAAAATTCATAAAAAACAGCTACATTAAATCACAAAGCAGAAACTTCAAAATGACTTTAAAATATTTCTCAAACTGAACATTCGTGTAACCATGCTGTCATGCCCCAAGTAGAATTTTAAATGAATTCGCTGAAAAGTACATGAATGACCAAAACAAAGTCAGACTAAAATATTCCCAGATATGTGAAATTCATGCCCAATGTTAGAGAGTACAGTTGATTAGTTACATGCAGATATAGATCTGATATTATTGTTTTGAAACTCCTAGCGATTTATAACTACATTTACTAAAACTGTTGGAAGCGCACGTACAATCTCCACAAGTCCCGCAAGATCGTCCGAAATGCCGTCAACTGGACCCATGAGATCCGTTATGTCAACAAACGCAGTATCGTGTAGTTGAATCTCTTATCGTCATTCGCATGATTCTTATTAAAAACTTTACATTAGTCTGTTAGCTACGTTCTTAGTACTTTCAATATGACGATATATATTTTTCATGATTTTTAAAACAATAACATAATGCCATAATCGATTTATGGAGTCGGGATTATTTTTATCAAAGCACCGCAATCATTACGCACTTTCTGATTGGTTTGTCGTATTTTCACACATAACAAGCATCGAGACGGGGACGAGTCTTCTTGGAGTTTACGGAAAGGGGCGAGTGGTGACGAATGTCTTTCCTGTCGTGAAGCTGTGGCCATAATGATATTACCAGCCAAAACAGCATACCTTAGGAAACGTATTGTTGGTTTAAAACATTTTTACTGAAATCTGTCTGAAGCTGACTTGAGTTATACTTTGGTATTTGTCACTCAATATGAGCACATGTGCATGGAACTGAGTGGGTGTAGTTTTACGTCGCTTTCAGCAATATTCCACCAATATCACGACGAGGGACACCAGAAATGCGTTTCACACTTTGTACCCATGTGGGGAATCGAACCCGGATCTTCGGCGGGTTTAACCACTAGGCTACCCAAAGATTCGGTTAGAATTGGTCTTCAGCAACCCTTTCTTGTCGTAACAGGCGACTAAAGGGATTGGCTTGACTTGTCAAGAATTGAGTAGATCGATTCTTATGTTATCAGTGACTAGATTATCTTGCACGAACTCAATAATTAACAGACCGCTGTCATTTTGGGGACATGCGGCGTTAACAGACAAACAAACAAAAGTGAAACACTTTTTATTAATAGAAGTATAGGAACGTGAAACACACAAAATTAAATATGTATTGTGCTGTATTAAGGTTACAGCTACTCATGTGAAAGACACGTGTAAGCTTAAAATTGAGCATAATGTACATTTGGAGTTTTAAGCCACTCAGATATAGCATATGGTGCAGCTGAGTGGGTTACATCTCTGACTTTGTGGGCTGGCGATTCGGTGCCTTACTTTAAGAGTGTTGGTTCAATTCCCAGCTGGGATAGAACCTGAATTTTACTGAGGAAGTGTTATCCCAAATATAGCTAAGGTGAACTACAACTGAATGAAGGCGCATTTAAGAATAACATGTAACTACAAATATACCATTCAAAAGAGTAGGGGATACTAGTATTCCAGTTTGCGAGCATACCACTAGCCAATGCCAATGCATGTGAGAAAAAGTAATATATATCCATACAGATGAAACATTTCCAAAGGAATGGAATTAATTGTCACATTTTCCCTTAATTTCTCTTCATCATCTGTTTTCTCCTTGGCTTCGTCGTTTGCATTTTATCAAACTTGTAAATACAATATCCCCACTTTTTAATGGTATATCATACATGACATACAGGGTGAATATTGTTTAATAAAATTCTCCTGATAAACGTGATTCACAAGTATGTTCAGTCATAGTATGACATTTATTGATATTGCAACATTTAAAAAATATGAGATGTGAATTGCAATGCACATATTTGTCAGTTCCAAAGTACTTCATAAATAGTTCTGAAATAACACTTGTCAAGACTTGATAACAATGTGTCAAAAGTTTTCCATTTGCTATATGTTATATAAAAAGCCATTCATCTAAGTAAACAAACATGAGCATATGTCTTAGAGAGGGAAATTTTAATGTAATTCCCACTGAGAAACGTGAAGTGGAACTGGTTATAAAACGATCATTTGACCCTGGGAAGAATCCGCCAGGTTGTGTCTCATTATCTTGCTGTTGGATCCTTCTTTCAAAAAAATACGAAGTATAACAAAGAATTGAGAAGGAGGAAACAGTAAAAATATTTCCTCAAACCAAATCCTAAAAATATGAGACGGTCAGTCACTAATGATAAGACTACTTTGTTGGCATCATTTGCGACGACTATATCATTGTAAATCTTGATACCTCAAATGTATATAGAAATAATACATGTGATCATTGTCATTCACACAACGCATCCTCTGCCACTTGAGCAAGTTGAATGTTATTCTGTACTATATATATATATATATCACAGCAGTCTATCAAATGCCCAGTGAGTGATCTAATAGTTAAATATTAGCAATATTTCAGCCGTATCGCGACTAAAACAAGCTATAGAAATATAATAATTAAAGGTAATGTATAAAATGCATTCAAAGAAGGACAGTAAAACAACTATATAGAATATCACAGTCATAAATCTAAAACTGGTAATTAACTGTAAAACATTTATACTATATATGACAGGACAATATAGAACAGACTATAGACTGCTAACAACTGAAGGCAGATCACAATACTGGGGACTTTTGCTTCCTGCATGGACTCTAGTTGGTTATACACCATCCCTTCAGATGCTGGCAGTTTTGGACAATCAAGCCATAAAATAAAATGACATATATACGGCGGTTAAAAAGTAGTATGTTTAAATTTACTTTGAATGTTTTGGGACGTACCTACCCTCTTAGGAGGGTAACTAGTTTACAGTACTTTAACCCCCTTCAGGACACAGCCACTAAAATCTCAATTGTTAATTTAAACTACCAATAACGAAGCATTTATCTATTTACACAAATTTATGAAAATTTATCTAACAATACTATTTCTTTTAAAAATGAAATGATTAAATGATAATTCACACTAAAAAGATCCTTCAATGTTTTGACATTGAAATATTTATCCCTTGTGATGGAAAAATCAATACGGCCACGCAGGACATGCTTGACCGTGATTCTTTCATCACATCAAAAGCCTAGAAACTCTACTGTGATCTATGGCTATAGACGTAAACGGACCACTGACTTTAGTCCGATGTAACAGTACTAGTAGTTCGTTATACACTTTTCGACCAAATTATACAACAGTGGCCGGGACAAGTTCGTTACATCCGTCACTTCGTTATATCCGTCATTTCTTTTTGACTAAATTATACAACAGTGGCCGAGACTAGCTCGTTATATCCGTCACTTTGTTATATCTGTCATTTCTTTTCGACTAAATTATACAACAGTGGCCGGGACTAGTTCGTTATATCCGTCACTTCGTTATATCCGTCATTTCTTTTCGACTAAATTTTACAACAGTGGCCGGGACCAGTTCGTTATATCTGTCACTTCGTTATATCCGTCATTTCTTTTTGACTAAATGATGCAACAGTGGCCGGGACTAGTTCGTTATATCCGTCAGTTCGTTATATCCGTCATTTCTTTTCGATTAAATTATACAACAGTGGCCGGGACTAGTTCGTTATATCCGTCATTTCATTTCGACTAAATTATACAACAGTGGCCGGGACTAGTTCGTTATATCCGTCACTTCGTTATATCTGTCATTTCTTTTCGACTAAATTATACAACAGTGGCCGGGACCAGTTCGTTATATCCGTCAGTTCGTTATATCCGTCATTTCTCTTTGACTAAATGATGCAACAGTGGCCGGGACTAGTTCGTTATATCCGTCAGTTCGTTATATCCGTCATTTCTTTTCGCCTAAATTATACAACAGTGGCCGGGACTAGTTCGTTATATCCGTCATTTCATTTCGACTAAATTATACAACAGTGGCCGGGACTAGTTCGTTATATCCGTCATTTCTTTTCGACTAAATTATACAACAGTGGCCGGGACTAGTTCGTTATATCCGTCAGTTCGTCATAAACGTGTTCGTAATAAACATAGGTTACTTTATCTTAATGACACCTTCACCAATAATTGACTCTGAGTACTCATTCGTCGTTTGAGTGAACAACACATATAATTTGCTTTGGTGACCAGTTGCGAAATACCTTATATTCTTTGCCAAGATCATGTCGTAGAAGTCTGGTATATTATTACCTTCCCTTTCCCTTTTCTTAATTGGCTGAGTGATTCTTCAAGAAGGTGACTTCGATGTTCACTGCTGCGTCATTCGGCGGATTTCATCCTTACACTACATTGCAGATGCTGCAGCCCACCGTCTTCGGTATTCCACCTGGTGTGCTCTGACCTTGACCGATGGTAGGGGTAGATGTGAGATCCCTGTTTGTTAGGTCTACAGATTCTGTGTACATAACCTCCACGTGAACTGCATCACGATCCAAGGTCTTGTATATGGAAGATTTTTTACTCAAATATCTGTTGCCCTGCGGATCAAGCTTGAGCAGGTGTTGCTGACAGAATCTGTCTGCATCTGAACCTGAACGTGTCAGAACCAAGGTGACGTAGTGAATTCGTGAGCGCCTGCGTGAGACCATTTGGGAGCTTCTGCGTAAGTGGTTGCGTGGCCTCTTGCAGTAGAAGTCAGCAAAGTAAAGATTTGCTGAATCATTAAACACCTCACTCAGCGGTAGTTTTACTCTCCTGGCTCCAAAAGGCGACTTGTGGGGGATAGTTCCTCCCTGAAGTGTCACGTTGAAGAACAAACCCTTCAGTCTCCCGTTTATGGGACATCGTGGATCCCCGCCATGGTCCTTCAGGTAAGGTTCCATGATGTTATTGTGCTTGTCCTTGATGTCATCAAAATAGGAGGATGGCTTGTTGCGGTAGAAAGTAGAAACTGTATCCGAACTGCCTGCACTGCAGTGTTCATCAGCTTTGCGAAGCAGCTTTCGCAGATATTCTGAAATAGGGCGGGTGGTTGAATGAGTCTTATGCCTCTTTTAGGAACATTCCAGCAATATCACGGCAGGGGACACCATTATGCTTTGAAATGGGACATTAAAAGATCATGAATAGAAATACTGTAATACTTGCAATTAGAAACTTAGATATTTGTATTTGCAAACTTAAAATATCCACGCCAGACAACACTCAGTCTTGACTATCTGCCAAAACAGATTTCATAACATGTCATATTGTAAACAAGGATGATTCTTGTACGAATAAGTTACTGAAACCCATTATGAAACATGTAGACCTAATCTTAAATTGCATAAATGTGTTTTTATGTTTGCATAGAAATACATAACATGAATTTGATTTGTTTGCTAAAACTTTTGAAACAATGTAAACAAATGTTCAAATATCAGTGTTGCTTTTTTAGAAAATATATACTGGACAAAAATAGCTAGGGATATGTGTAAATTTTGAAATTATGAATAATGATCTATTTATTCATTGACACCCTGATAAAATATCAATCATAAAAATACCAATATCCTAACTTATTTTGTCCAGCATATGTGACCTTAGTTAAATGTCGAATCTATCCTGGATATTTACGCACACACACGCGCACACGCACATGCTCACGCACATTTACACTGATCCGTATTGTTATACCTGTGCTCCCCGCTTCAGCCATGTTGATTTGTCAAGCTGGTATCTTTCCGACTCTTCTGTGTACAGGTGCTACAGCAGAAATGTTTGTGGTACCGATTGCTTGACGATGTTTACAGCTGAGTTCAGAGTATTCTATTGTCCTTTGCATGAAAGGAAATCCAGGAATAGTTACTTTCGGTTCCGATTCAAGTTACCTGGAAAACTAGAGGTATTGATTAACGCTTAACAGCTTGGCTACCCCACCACCACTTGCATAGGAACACATGCCCTTCACTCATCTAAGTGTATGTGTGTCGCGAACCCCATATTCACTAGACGAGTGATTGAGTGAGTGACTTTGACTTAACCATGACGTTAGCAAACGTTCAAACGCTGAAAAAAATAGTCTTGTATATCAGGAGATAGAGAATTGCCTTACTCCATAACCGTCATCAGATGAAAGGTCTCCTACATTACATCTTCCATATTCACGAACAATAGCATAAGAGTACGTTTCTGTACCTCTCTATATATAAATCTTTCAGCTGAATCTGTCAAATGGTTCACGAAAACTGTAACGGTTATACAAGAGACGTTATACCATAGTTTATAAGGTTATATTATTGGCAAATAATTGTATTGCACTATATTGCGATTCTGGTACCCGTATTCCGATACGTATTGCGATATTTTGGTATCTTCAGTGTTTGACAGTGTGTGATATTGATTGTACATGCAGAGTCTGTTGTCTTCATACTAAAGCCCTAACATAATGTAATGGTTGTAATAACTGAAATCACGAATTTAGATTTAATTTTGAGGGATTGTATTTTCTTTAGTATGAAATTTATAGTGTGTAAAGTATGCTGTTTAACCCATTATTGAACCACATAATCTTATCTGCTAAGAGATATATTTACACTTGCACCTTGACAAAAACAATTCCAAAAGTTGATAATTACTTAAGGATGTGAACAGCTGCGTTTTTGTGTAAAGTTTTGTTAAGAATTCGCCAATTTTCACTGAGTTTCATGATTTATTGAACTCATGACAATAATCGTTTCAGCTTTATAAAATTTGTTTTACTATACATCAGTTCATGTGTAAACAGTACCTTTAAACAGTATGGAATATTTTGCAAACTCTAGTTTAGAACAGTTGCCTGAAGTAAGTGGCTACATCTACACTAGTGAGTGTGACCTTTGATGGGGAGTATACAAGCAACAACCTACCAACACAACAACATATTTCATACATGCCCCTGTACGAGATTCCAATAAGTTTAACGCTGTTCGTTGTTGACATACACAGGATGTTTAAGTCGTGTATAGCGTCGTAGTTATGCCTGTTGAGCCTATACAACCCGACACAGCAACCCATGAAGTCGTCCCGTGCGATATGCAGTTCCTAGAACCTGCAGGTCAAGACGACCTACTTGCGGCAATTCTGACTAAATACGAATTCAATACTTTAGTGCATGGTACAAAGAAAATATTGAATAATAAATTTCTAGTTGCACGAAGCTTGCATAACGTAATGGGTTTGTTATTGAAGCTCAGCCAGCCGCTAAGGAGATATCAATAGGAATATTTGACACATTCCTACTGAATAGCATGGTAATGTACAAACAGCGATAGTATGGCAGTATGAGTTCATATAAGTGTTTCGTTTGTTTGTTTGTTGTTCTTTTGCTATCTATTTTGTTGCTATATGACAGGAGTCTGTAAACTGAAGCAGTGATTGAAATTATGAGAGCACAATTATATGATGTAATGAACTGGATGGAATAGCTGCAGCGACATGCATGTGAAGGATATCGTTTTAGGGAGATGAACATATCCCGAATGTCTAATGGGAAAGTGAATGAATGAATGTGAATGCGAGGGTGAATGGGAGAGTGAATGATATAATGGGAGAGTGAATGGGACTGAATGAGTGAATGGGTGAATGGGAGAGTCAATAGGTGAATGGGAGAGTGATGGGTGAATAGGAGAGTGAATGGGAGAGTGAATGTGTGAATGGTAGAGTGAATAGGTGAATGGTACTGAAATGGGTGAATAGGGGAGTGAATGGGTGATTGGGAGGGTTAATGGGTGAATGGGAGAGTGAATGAGTGCATGGGACTGAATGGGTGAATGGGAGAGTGAATAAGTGAATGGGAGAGTTACAATTTCACATCGCAGCCACAATCTTCCAACCATATTGTACTAGTGTTCAGTATACAATCATGTGCAGTTAAAAGAACCCACGAATCCGTTGGTATATGACCAGATGGTGGCCACGTGAATACGCGCAAACACCTAGTTGCGGGTACAGCAACCTGCATTCAACTTTGACAAAATACTGTGACTACGTGTCCCAGTCCACCCAGCTGTGAATGGGTAAATCGTAAGGATGGGAAATCCGCAGTGACTCAATGCGCCTAGTGGCTGCAAGAGTTGTATGGTCCCCAGGGAATTGGGATTGTTGATAATACGACGTGCCTTTTACGATGGATATCCAATGATCGAGGGAAAACAAAGCGCCTTTGAGCAGCTGAACTGGATATTGGCAAGGGAGTTACACAAATATTAGCTTAAATAAATATTGGAAAATAATAAAAGGCTGAACACATTAAGCTGTGAATTCAAGTTTTAATCACTTATATATAAAGACAAACTGACGTTTCTTTTACTGCTTAGTATATATAATCGTTGTGTCGAACTTACGGTTATCGCGAAGTAAACGTTATTCTTATTAATCACCATTTTGCTGTAGAGTCGAACTACACGTAACTCGAAGTAAACGTTATTCTTATTAATCACCATTTTGCTGTAGTGTCGGAACTACACATAACTCGAAGTAAACGTTATTCTTATTAATCACCATTTTGCTGTAGTGTCGAACTACACATAACTCGAGGTGATAATGTTGGTCCCTACAACTTCGACACCCGTGAAGATCCAGCTTAGAATTGATCTTCAGTAACCTATGCTTGTCGGGGCGACTAATGGGATCGGGTGGCCAGGCTCTTGCTTGACACATGTCATCGTATCCCAGATACTTAGATCGATGCTCATACTGTCTGGTCCACACTCGATTATTTACAGACCGCCGCCATATAGCAGGAATATTGCGGTGTAAAAATAAATTCACTCACTCACTTCAACCTCGACAAAAAGCTGCTTGACCGCCCTGTGTTAGAGACATTCATTTGTATTAATTTTTGTAACTCTTTCTTGTGTATATGCTTTTATGATTTGTTACGACTGTAAATGTATAATACCTAATATTTTGACTAGAACGTTTCCAACACATGTATTTTGTTCGTTCGTCACGCCTAGCGCCCGGATTCGATTCCCCACATTGCTGCAATGTGTAAAGCCCCGATATGGTGTCACCCATCATGATATTATTGGACTGGCTGACTGAGTTTAGTTTTACGCCGCTTTTAGCAATATTTCAGCAATATCACGGCGGGGACACCAGAAAATGGGCTTAACACATTGTGCCCATGTGGAAATCGAACCCTGGTCTTCGGCGTGACGAGCCAACGCTTTAACCACTAGGCTACCCCACCGCCCCTGATATTATTGGAACAGTGCTACAAGTAAGTTTCTTCACTAAGTAAAAGAGCAAAACCCAACTCACTCACTCACCCATTGGCATAACCTTAAGTGTGTGAGTGAGAGTATAGTTTTACGCCGCTTTCAGTGTCAACTCAATGGATGTGGTTGAAATATTATTATTTTTGATATTTTCTTGTTAATGAATGAAAACATCGTTTTAAAACACCATCAGGTCACAGAGTATAGTAGTTTATGTAGACTGACTGAGTATGGTTTTACGCCGCTTTTAGCAATATTCTAGCAATAATACGGCGGAGGACACCAGAAATTGGCTTCATACATTGTACCCATGTGGGGAATCGAACCCGGGTCTTCGGCGTGACGATCGGACGCTTTAACCACTATGCTACCCTACCGCCCCTTGCATAGGAACCAATGTCCTTCACTCATCTAAGATTGACTTTCTTTATGTGTAACACTGACAACGTATTTCTTTACCATTATTGAGATTTAGAACATGTAACCATAGATTACCTACTGAGACGGGCCGCTGGTATAATATTCCAAGGGAGGAGAGAACGTGTCATCTATGCGCTTCTAAAAGCATCGCAGATGAATATCATAATATTTGTCAATGCAAAGCATTAGATACTTTGAGGAAACAATATTTACCCACCTATCTAACCTCTTTTCCCAATGAAACAAAAGTTCATGAAAATATTATCTCACTAAAACATCTCGAGACATAGTAAATCTATCAAAACATATCCTACATCTATCATCTGTGGTCCGAAAAATATGTTGTTTTCTGCCTTCTTGAATTTGAATTTGTACAATAATATGCTTACAACCCACCAAGGTGGTTTATGAGAATAAAGAATTGAATTGAATTGACAATGTACTCATGAAACAAATCGAATCGTTTTATTACATATTAGGGTGAGAAACAACAATGAGAATGCACAAAGTGAAATTCAGGATCTAATGTGAAGGTTGATAATGTACAATGTCAGCTTATACATGAAGGCAAATAATTAAAGGTGTACATATAGCACTGCTCATATTCTTACAGCTTTAATACGTACTGCACATTACATACAAATAGCTCAAAAAGGAAACGAATATTGGTAAAACATGAAACGGTTGGAGCTTTTGCTTCGTGAACCACATTTTCCAAGAGACCCGTGAAGATCCGGGTTAGAATTGATCTGCAGCAACCCGTCCTTGTTGCAAAAAGGCGACTGACGGGATCGAGTGGTCAGACTCGCTGACATGGTTGACATGTTGCATCATATACTAATTCCGTAGATCGATGCTCATGCTGTTGATCACTGGATTGTCTGGTCTCAGACTCGATTATTTACAGACCGCCGCCATATAGCTGGAATATTGCTGAGTGCGGCGTAAAACAACAACCAAGCAATCATTTTCAAAATACCCCTTTTTCATGCTTCAGTATCATGAACGTTCAGTTCGTAGAGTTTATTTATGCGTTATACACTGGATGAACGCAATGAATTCCTTGCATTAAGCCTATCACTACATCTGATACCATTTTATCCTTGTCTGCTGTGCTCCGACTTAAAAGCAATATATTGATTATAATTACTATAGTAACTCCTCATTTGAAACTCCAAAATAGTCCCTGTACGTTTTACTTGTTCCCTGTTTAAAGAAAATGTGTGAAGCATATCAATATTAAGAAAGTAATAATAGCCCTATCACAGTTTCGTTCCGTTTATTATGATTTAAGTTGTTATAAGGGAAAATTTCATGAGAAATCTACTGTGTGCAGATACTGTAAATTGAATGTCCTGGAAGATGAATACCATATTCTGCTAATTTGTGATTATTATAGTAACATTAGAAGCAAATATATACCAAGTTATGTTACGAAACAACCGTCAAAACATAAATTTATCCAACTATTGTCAACTGCTAACCGTTTATTTATTGAAAATATTGCTTTGTTTATCTATCATGCTATTTTGAAGAGAAATCCACTCTGCCGTTGAACTTTGTATATACTTCTACAATGGGCATGTGGCCTTCAGTTCGACTTCATTTGTTCGACTTATATCTTCAAATCACCAACTTACTTCTGTGAATTTGTCTAAATATATATATATTTTTGCTATGAAATTGTATGAATCACTTCATTTGTACTCACACGATAGCAATGTTATGCACTATGGGCCTGAAACGTGAAAAAACTTCACTACATGTTGTCACTGGTTATTAATTATCATCAAATTTTGATAATTTTCTGCCTCATTAACTTATTTGTTCGTATAAAGAATCCATTTCGTTTCATTCGTTGCGCGTAAACCAGTATATTGCAGTGACAATCATCCTAGAATTTCTGAAAACAACATACACATTAAACACATTATACACATTTTTTACAAACAAGTATGTTAATACTTAACACTTAACACACGAATACTACTTAACACACAAATAGAACAGTAAACAGACATGTGCATGGCATCAACTATAAGTATAATACGATAATATTAGATGTTGGAAAAATATGTCACTCCAACAGTTTTACACAAGCAAATTGTGTGATAAAATCTACATAACTACATAACAAGGCATATCATGGGATAAACATGTAAATAGTTTTTACACTGGGAATGTGTACTGGGAATGTCAGGAGACACAAACTTTTGGGGAACATCTGGCTTAACAATTTATACCCCCATCCATTGCTATTATTAAAACGTATGATTTGGTTTGGTACTCTGAAACTCTGAAAGAAATATTCTTTGTTGAAAATCATATACAAAAAATAATAAAGCAGAACATATAAATCATAAATGGGGCCTTGTCTTCCCAGTATTTTGATGACTTTAAAATGTATCCATATATACTTGATACCATCTTTCTCTTTTATTGACTTATATATGTTTATCAATATGATGTTGACATACTACCTGTGCATCATCTATCTGTATGTACCACACTTTTGTAATATGACATTGTAGTCTTTGGAACAAATAAAAAGATTTTTGGTCGACACGTAGCATCTAGTGGGATGACGGTAGGTGGGGTAGCCTAGTTGTTAAAGCTTTCGCTCTGTCACGCCTAATACCAGGGTTTGATCCCCACAAGGGTACAATGTGTGAAGCTATTTCTGGTGTCCCCAGCCGTAAATTGAATATTGCTAAAAGCGGCGTAAAACTAAACTCAGTCAGTCTAGTGGGATGATCTGTCATTGAATCTGCTCAAGTCCATTAAATGGAGGTTCACCAGTCATCATCATAATAACCGGGCTCATAGCCCAAATAATCATTATAATCATAGACACAATGATCATAATCGTCATAATCATCGTACATCCATAAATCTATGCCATTATCAAAGTCAAAAGGATCGTCATATTCCACGGTAGGCACATATCTTCTTCCGGGTTCGACTCCAACATTGCAAATCCCACAACCACCAGCTTTCCGTATTCCCCGATACTTTGCCCACGCCCGTATATCCCAGTAGAACTTAGGATTCTGTTTGAAATGTCAATATCTTCTGTGTAGAATACATCGACAAATACTTTGGATCGCTTCAGGGTCGAGTACGCATAGCTTTGCTTTCTCAGGTACAAGTTGTTCATGACATCGAGCTTGATCAGGTTCTCTTTACAGAAACGATCCGCCTCTGAATCAGACTTGGTCAGAACCAGGGTAACATAGTGGATGCGGTTGCGAGAGGGTTTGCAGTAGAAATCGGCAAAGTACAAATTTGAGGATTCCTGGAAGACCTCACTCAGTGGAACTTTAACTCTGGTGTTTCCAAACGGTGATTTGTCTGGTATACCCCCACTGTGTAGCGTAACTCCGAAAAAGAGGCCTCCAAGTTTGCCGTTGATTGGACAGCGCGAATCACCCCATCGTCTTTGGTTCTCCTTTTCATAATGCCATTGTGGTTATTCTTGATATCCTGGAAGTAACTGGCGGGCTTATTACGGTAAAGGTAATATACAGCTTCAGATGTCCCACTTTTTGCTGTGGTCATTGGCTTTGTCCAACAGCTTCTGAAGATATTCTGCAAAATACATATGGCTTGCCAATGGACAGTAAGGCGGAGTTCAATATGAAATGTGACTTAATCGAAACTTTAATCTGGAAAAATGTAGGTAAATGATCTACGATGTCAATCGTAATGCTTGTTAATTTCGAAAATTTAATTGTAGGTTTAATAGAATGTATGGTAGACATGGTCGAGAGAAATATTTCAACTTTTCGTGAGTCTCACAGAGGTATGGTTTTTATCATAATCAAAACAATCAGTCAGCGGATCGGGCCGGTGGTGTAGCCTAGTGGTTAAAGCGTTTGCTCGTCACGCCGAGGATCGGGTTCGATTCTTCAAATGGGTACAATGAGTGAAGCCCATTTCTGGTGTCAGTCGCCGCGATAATGCTGGAATATTGCTAAAAGCGGCGTAAAACTAAACTCACTCACTCTGTCAGCGGATCAGAAGCACAAAACATGTCAGAGAAACTAGTTTCTACGAATCCCGCCCCAGCTCACAGCCCCTTTACACCACAATATATCAATAAACCAGTAAATAAAAATAAATAGATAAATAGAAAATAGTATGGTAAGGTTGTATACACTAGTATATGTCTCATCCAGTGAGTATATCCATACCTTTTCCTGCACCAGTGCTTCCTCCTACCGCCATGATGGTATGTGTGTTGTTCCTACTAGTTCGTAACAACAGCAATATGGTTGTCGATACACGTTGGCTCTATTTATAGTAACAGTGTACTCTTGTGCAATGGTGTAGATTATTGGTATGGAGATAGCTGACGTAATGCTCAATTACAGGGTTCCTAGAAAATGTACTTTCATTTTCACTTCTATTTACCAGTATGCATATGAGTGAGTTTGTATGGTTTTACGCCGCTTTTAGCAATATTCCATCAGCCTCACGGCGGAAAACAGAAATGGACTTTACAAATATTACCCATGTGGGGAATAGAACCCAGGTCTTCGACGCGACGATCGGCCTTTTAACCACAAGGCTACCCCACTGCTCCCTGATATATCTGAAAGGCAACAGAGATTTTGTAACCAGTATGATAAATACTACAGGATATGATTTCGAAGGAGAACATATCCGAGGTAAGGTCAACCCCACTGTTTGATATGCTTGGATTCAGGCCCTGGACCTGGATTGTAAACAAGAGGCGTAATCACGTGGAATTGTCACTCACTCACTCACTCATGCCTTGTGGGGCGGTGGGTAGCCAGGTGGTTAAAGCGTTCGCTCTTCACGCCGAAGACCCGGATTCGATTCCCCACATGGGCACAATGTGTGAAGCCCATTTCAGGTGTCCCCGCCATTATATTGCTGGAATATTGCTAAAAGCGGCGTAAAACACAATCACTCACTCACACTCATGCGTTATGAAAAGACTGATCTGAGATAAACATCGTTCTAACATTTATACATTTTATATCAGTTACCTCTTCACAATATGTTTCTAATCGAGCTACTTTTCGCAGAAAACATTCAGTGGACACCACATCTCCTTAAGTTTCAGCATTCTTCAGATATCATGTTGTGAACTCAAGCTTTCGGCTGTGGAGGCGTATCAATTTACGCTTGTCATGGGCGTAAGCAATCTTGACTATCAGTTCTCCGAAACTATAGCCAAGACCGTTTTTCTCAATCCCCGGTTTTCAACGCAAATGGAAACAATGCTCCTTGTATTTGTCTGTTACAAATTGTGTTTTGTTGGTGTTTTTAAACGTTTCCCTGTTGCACTGTTGCAGTCCAGAAAATGTGTCACGGTCAAATGTCTATTTATATAGTTGTTTGTTGTTTGTTGTTAGTTAACGCCCCACTCAGATATATGGCAACGGTCTGTAAATAATCGAGTCTTGAACAGACAATCCAGTGATCAACAGCATGAGCTTCGATCTACGCAAATGCCAACCATGTCAGAGAGTCTAATGTATATCAATCGCATCCATTAGAATACATGTTACCATGACGTGTGATTGTTTGATTCTATGGCAGAAATAATCTAGGTGATGGGTTGAGTCAGTGAGTGAGTTGGGTTTCACGCTACTTTTAATAGTATGCAATAGTACATCACGGTATCTCCTCAACGTTGGAGGAGACAACAAAGTGGACCAGGTCTCAGACGTTTGTAACGTTGGTGAAATCTCAAGCACAGGGATGTCGTTAACAAAGAAACCAAAACGTAGGAAACTAGGATTCGAACCCGCAACCATAGGATTTGGCGTGCCGAAGAAGGGACGCAACTGTGCACAACGATTTCAGCCATTTGACCACCTGTGTCCCCTTCTCAACACGACGAATACATGGGTGAACTCCAACCAAATACCATGGGCAGAATATTGCGTGAATAATGCTAAAACAGCGTAAGCATTGCAATCAATCAGTCCATAAAAGTATTACATTAAAACAATTCCATTTTTGTGTAATTTTTATTAAAAATAGAATTGCTGAAATAACATTTTAAAGAATATATCACCTTGTTCGATAAAGAATCAAAACTGCAAAACATACATATAAACATCTATATAAACGTCAAGCCTGTAAATTGTAAACATTGTAATATCATATCAACATATACCTGTACTTGTGGTATCTATATATATATAAAGTTATATGAATGAGGCGAGGTAATGCATAATTGTGGTTTACACTGGCGTATGAAACTCAAAATTGGCATCAGAAAGCGATTTTGTTTATCCATTTAATGGAAATCGAAACGAGGTCACTCTTAATCATGGATATTATTGAAAATATGTCTTTTCATTTCTAGCATCTTTATAACACAATTTAACGCATCGTTTCTTTTCATCAAATTCTAAACGCTGGAAAAATATTTCATACAGGTTTAACTTTAGAAAATATTATTAAATACGTCTGAGGTAAAGAAGTTGGCCACGGTTTTATAATTCCCCTACATATCCACAAGGCGACGGGTTTCAGGGTTTTACCTCGAGTTTGGTATCTCAGCCAGGTGTGTCATCATGAACAGAGCGGGCATAAAAGGAATGAACAGTAAAAACTTATTGCTATTTAGACATAAAACAAATATTATTTACATAGAATGTGAAGATATTCGTCCTTTCAATGCAAATACTGCATGTCTTGATACTATAAACCCCAAGTGATTTCTATGTGTGACAAAACCTACACTAGCCACTGCGTGATGGCCACACATTCATCGTTCACTGATCGGTCTCCCATGGTGGCGGTCTGCAGTTTAAGACGGCGGTATTCAGACATACCAGTGGCAATGGTTGTGTCATTTGTCTCATCCAGCGAGTAAATACATCGGGCTGATGTTGAACATATTATTGAATACAGAACGTCGAAAAATAGCTGTGAAAACTATTTGAATGGATCACTGAAAATCAGTGATGACACCTGGTGTTCGCGGAAGGATAAGCATGTCTTGCCCTACCGGTAGCACCCGCCATTAACATTCGTCTTTAAAATGGAAGAATGTTTGGCCTCACGCCGTATGGCAGAACTCCTGCCATGCAGCGGCGACCTGTAAACAAACCAAACAATCAACTGAAAGAATCTTGTTTTGGGCCAAATTCAGGCCTCCTTAAAATATCATATGAACAGTCATTAATGATGACTTACTGTGTGACCAACATTACAACAGCCACATACGTGTGATTCTCGTCAGTTTTAAATTGGTGAATGTTAGTCTGTGTGGCTATCCACATCACAGTGGCCTATCCGAATTATTTCTTCATGGCTTGAGCAATAACTGCCGCTGGGTAAATTACACATCATAAGTAATCCTGCATGAACCCCACATAAGATTCAGCGTTGTAGCGTTGTAGCTTACACATAACCACAAGCTGATAGCCTAAACTATATTCTTGATTGGTATCACTATTTGATGGTTATTCACAAAAACGTGCTTGTCATCGTGTCACATGTTGTCAATCGCTCAATTGTCAGGTCCAGACTCGACTGTTTACACCGTACAGCTGTAACACGGCTGAAACAAATACATACTCATAATATAGTCAGAATTGTACAATCGTCTCTGCTTTGAGCAGACATTTCATATTCATGCGGGCAAGGTTTTGTCGCTACTATTCTGTAGTCGTCAGATCATGAAGGAAATAGCCATCAAAGGTCTCGTCGACACTGCAGATGCTACAACCAACCGTCTTCGGTCTTCCACCTGGTGTGCTGTGACCTTGACCAAAGGTACCAGTAAGAGTGAGACATCGGTGAGTCAGGTCTACAGCTTCTGTGTACATGACCTCCACGTGAACTGCATCACGATCCAGGGTCTTGTATGAAAAGAATGTCTTACTCAAATACGTGTTGTCGTGCGAATTAAGCTTGATCAGGTGTTGCTGACAGAAACTGTCTGCATCTGAACCGGGACGTGTCAGAACCAAGGTAACGTAGTGAACACGCCTACTTCTCGAGGGCTTGCAGTAGAAGTCAGCAAAGTAAAGATTTGCTGAATCATCAAAAACCTCACTCAGTGGCACTCTCACTCTCGTGTCCCCAAAAGGCGAATTGGCAGGAATGCTTCCGCTCACAAGTGTCACGTTGAAGAACAGGCCCTTCAGTTTTCCGTTTATGGGACACCGCGGATCCCCGCCATTGTCCTTCAGGTAAGGTTCCATGATGTTATTGCAGTTTTCCTTGATGTCATCAAAATAGGAGGTTCGCTTGTTGCGGTAGAGCGTAGACACTATATCCGAAGTGCCTGAACTGCAATGTTCTTCAGCTTTGCGAAGCAGCTTTCGCAGATATTCTGAAATAGTAATTTGTAGAGCTACAGCATGTAAACTTCCTGTACACAACTAAGGTTAGCAGGAGATGGTGTTTGTAATAACGACACGTACACACTACACCTATTCTCACGAAATGTGCACCAACTGATAACAGGAAATGATAAACAAAATCAAAGTTCTTTTTTAAATGAAGAGTCATTTTATTGTTTGAAAATCATTTATTGTTAACAAAATTCAAACTATCAAAAGCCAAAGTTAAGGATAACACGAAGATCGCCAGTCATGATTGGGTACCTACGATTGGGTAAACTAATTTGCATAAATTGATCATCAAACTTACTATACAGGTTTTCTTTTAACTATACGTGTTACTGAAATATATTTCACATAAGTTGTATCTATATTATATTGTGATAAACAACAAAACCTGGCCATTTTACAACTTGAATATATATCTTGTAATCTCTGTTACCGCAACTCTACCATATCCATATAGAATTTTTTAGAAATTACTGGTGAAATGTTGCTATTCTGTTACACTTAGTTACATTAAAAATACAAAAAGAGATTAACTGTTCCTTCGTTTCATTCATTACTTAAAGTACAGACTACATAAGCACAGTGAAAATTCATCCAAACTGTAATCACGTTACCTGTTTAGTTTGATGTAGAATATCAACAATGAAAGCCAATTTTAAGTAGATAATCATTTAACGTTTAGAAGAGTTCATGCCATACTTTAGATCCATAAAACTGTCTTGCCTGGAGTAGTCCAGATGGTGTTTGATCAGTTGGACTCAGGTAAGACAGTCACTGGACAATCGTGCACATTTCAATCACGCTACTGAACAAAATGTCCGTCATGCCATGTGCTTTTGGCGCTTGGATGACAGCACCAATACTTCAGGAACCAGTGGACGTTCAGTGCCAAAGGTACGTAACTATTGTGTGCAATCCGACAAAAACATGGTCCTTTGGAAATGAGGTCACGTAGATTCCATAACGTAGATTAGTTAGGTGTCCTTCAGCACCCACCAAACATTTAGAGTGTAAAGGAAGAGCATTTCCTTCGCTTAGTTGTTACTACTGAATAGGTCCGTTCATTTTGAAACTCTTTGGATGTACAGTTTTCATCTTATAGTGGTCACGTAGATTACCTCCTAAAAATCTCTACAGCTTTAAACCTGTGAAACGTCATGGTGAGAAGTCGGCTGAAATTATTGTATTGTCCCAACATAAAACTGCAACTAGGGAATACCTTCTAATGAATACATTTTATAATAGTTATATGGTCATTTTCATTGGGTAACGTAGATTACACTTTTTGGAGACATCACATTAAACATAAATTCTGAAAAATTTAACCAGATGAAGACATGTTCTGGGTACAGGCGGAAGGGACAATACCTTATGTCGAGAATGTAATCTGTTTTGTTCACATGACTATTTACATGAAATATTCACTTAAAATGTTATGCTATCATTAGAGACATGCACATTTTGGTGATTGTGACTAACTTTTACCCTGAGTCACACACATGAATAACAGATCATTAACAATTTCTATGTCTCGGGTACCTACTAAGACCGTGGCCTAATATAAACATGTTTTTCTAATGCGGAGACACGTAAAATTACCAATGGGGCACATTTCGTGAGGATAGGTGACAAGAGAGTAATAAGAGCTGTTCCATAGAGCTTTTAAGGTAAAATAGTGATGACAATTGGAAGAAAGAACGAATGAAAATCAGTGACGGGAAAACTGTTGAATTTGAATTTGCCTGAGAAATGTATGGTAAGGTATATTTTTTCATGAATAGGGAAAACGCTCGGTCCCACAGATATACTTTAATGTACATACAATGACATAGTTAGAGTAATGCGGAGTTAGCCGATACACACACGCACACACGCACACACGCACGCACGCACGCACGCACGCGTGCACGCATTCATGTGTATATTATCTTTACTTTTCCGTCATTTAGGCTCCTCCTTCAGCCATGATTTCCAATTCCCCTTCATACGTAGACTGGGGTAACAATGTTTTGTTATTGTGTTTACGTGGGCACTATAAATACCTCACCATATCTGTGTGCAGACATGATCAACATGTCCTTGACATGAGTGGTTATCCAGAAACTACTACTTTCACTTTCGATTTCGCGTTCTAAGTATGAAGTAACTAAACCTTCCAGGAAATTCTGAGGTCATGATAACCGGACAGTTGTATTTTCAAGTCGTATACAACCCATCAGTATTAACAGTAACTACTGGGTTTTTTACAGAATAAAAGAGCAAAAACTTTGTTCTGAGGCAGCCATACTTGTCTCTGCTTATGTAGTGTAGTGGCTTGTGTGCGGCTAGACTGGTTTCCCATTTCTTGTTAGGGTGAGCAACGAAAGCACGGGAAGGATCTGGGAACCAGTCGAAGGATAGCTGGCGAAGCGCAATATCTCCCGGGAACCAGACTGATCATACTTCATAGCCTTGAATGCAGATCGTTTAAAAAGAAATTTTATGCGGATACTGATAGCAAATTTTGCACAATTCATATCTTTTAATACGTTGATTATATATAATGATTATTTGATATATAATTTTGCTCTGTTTGAGACTACATTGAGAACAGGTCTTATGAGTCAATTAATTATAATTGTGAAGATGATAAACTGACTGATATAATATCTATTTCTTGGAAGGTCACTAAACCCGTAAATGTTGCTTGTCTGACTTCGGTCGGTTACGTGAGGATGACAGCAAAGATGTGTTTATCAAATAAATCCGTTATAATCTAATTAAATTACATCCATTTAATTTTCACCACTTTTTGCCTTTTATTGCTCAGTGGACTTTCTTTCGTCGGAATTAAAAGAACCTTTATGAAACTGTTTAGGCTGGATTCTGATGTCAATATTGGACACTGAAGTGGTGTGAGGTTAACTGTATGTAACCACTAATTAGTCTACTAGGTGCTCCTCAAATACAAGTACAGATATCTTTGCTACTCGACCCGTGAAGGTCCGGGTTAGGATTGATCTTTAGCAACCCATGCTTGAAAGAGGCGACCAACGGGATCGGGTGGTCAGACTCGCTGACTTGGTTGACACATGTTATCGTATCCCAGTTACATAGTTCAATGCTCATGCTAGATTGTCTGCTCTATGATTGGTTATTTACAGACCGCCGCCATATAGCTGCACTATCATAGTGGTAATGCTATTTTTGAGGGCATTGTCATTTGCAGAAGCCCGAGGTCTTCCATTAACTGCCCGACGAAGGAGGGCAGTTGAAAAGACCAAGGGCTTCTGCAAATGATAATGCCCCTCAAAAATAACATTAATATTATTATTGCTACAATACATGGAATTTGTTTTGAAAAGAAAAAGGAAACAATGAAGGAATTTTACTGTAAGTTTACTCAAAACCAATTTCTGACGAGGTTGACTGACCAGGGACGTATATACGTCTTTGACTGACCGAATGCAATTACGTCATCAAACAATTCAAGTGACGTCACAACAGAACGTGACGATATTCAAACTTGGTCTTAGACAAGACCATTGCCTGCAACATGTCAAACTATGTCAGACACAACGTCATTTGTCAGTGTTCGGTTTTGGTCCAACAACAACGTTAATAGTGCAATTGTTAAGTTTAGCACCAGCAAGAAATCCAAAATTACCGCTATTTAAAGCGGGAATTCGGGTTGCTTTGACTTGTTTGCCCCAGAATATCTGCCAGACCAAAGCCAAAGTCGAGTGTACCGATGCACCCACTATGACGTCACTTGATAACAGAACTGACAGTGGCCCGTCGTTAAGGTTGACCGGTCCAATATCATTTGCAGCGGCCCGCAAATTTCTGATAATAGGAGGGCCGTTTCATGATACTTCCATGTGTTTTAGCTATAGTGATCAACAACAGCAACAAATCGGTACTACTCGTTCTGACAGCTTTTGAGAGATCTGTTTAACGGCAGGTTGTTTTGAGCGTGACTGCATAGTATTCCTTGTATCTCTCTACGTTATTACACCGATTCCCAAAATACACCTTTTCACTCAGGGTCAGAATCATAGAACTGACGTGTTGGGATTTAGTGCCGACTAGCATGGCTTATTGTGGACTAAAGAAGTGTGACCTCGGATCAGTGACCTCAACATTATTTACATGGATCCCCTTTCATGTAGTTAGTTGATCTACTGAAACGTTTCCTGTTGCTCTATTGTACTCCAAGGAATTCTTTGCTATTATCGTCTATGTAAACAAAAGCAAACCCGGATTCGAATCCACAATCATAGGTTTCTGTCATATCCAAGGGACGCAACTGTGCACTGCGAACTGCGGTGGCCTAGACGATTGGTCCACCTGTGTGTGCACCCCCACCCCCCCACCCACCCAGTCTATACTAGATATCCAAGTCCATACTAGAATGTGGCTTGCATTGTACTAAACAAACGCAAGCCCTATGTGCCATTCAAAAACGGTACATTTTAAGTATGTATTTATTCAAAAATAAAATGATTGTAAAGTCATAAAACTTGATCCATAAAACTGCGAGTAATAAAACTGGTACAAATAAATATCTAACATGTACAGTATTATTAAAAGTATATATTTTACACAACATGATATAACATCTATGTACACATTTAGTAACTTTTTTTTCATATACATGTTGCACAATGATAGAAATGAATCGAGATAATGCATAATTACAATTTACACCACACTGTAAAACTAAAACTAATTCAGAAAATAGATTTGATGATTCACTTAATGGAAACAAAAATAGTACTTTTTTCAATATATTAAGGCTTAACTTTACAAGAATATTTTCAAAACACCTTTTATTGTAAAGATTTAGCCACATTCCTCATCATATCCACAAGGCTAGCAGGACAGAAAAGGAACCTAAAGTAAAACTTTAGAAAGTATTACTCAACAGACATGTCCTAAAATAAGTATTATTTACATAGAATTTGAAGATGTTTTTCATTTCAGAAAAAACTACTGTATG